GAGCTTCAGACGTCTTAGAATTGATTCATACGGATATTTGTGGACCATTTCCTATAGCCTCTTGGAATGGTCAACAATACTTTATCACATTCATAGACGACTATTCAAGATTTGGATACCTATATTTGATTAGAGAGAAGTCACAATCATTGGATGTGTTCAAAGAATTTAAAGCTGAAGTTGAACTTCAGTTAGGCAAGAAAATTAAGGCCATTAGATCTGATCGTGGTGGTGAATACTATGGTAGATCTGATGGATCAGGTGAACAACGTCCAGGGCCCTTTGCGATCTTCCTAAAGGAGTGTGGAATCGTCCCGCAATACACAATGCCAGGTAAACCTAGCATGAATGGTGTTGCGGAAAGGCGAAACCGGACTCTTAAAGACATGGTGAGGAGTATGCTTAGTCATTCTTCATTGCCAGAATCACTTTGGGGAGAAGCACTAAAGACTGCAGTTTATATCCTTAATAGGGTTCCCAGCAAAGCAGTGACAAAAACCCCTTATGAGCTATGGAATGGAAAGAAACCTAGCATAAGGCATTTACACATTTGGGGTTGTCCAGCAAAAGCAAGGCCTTATAGGCCAAATGAAAGAAAGTTGGACTCAAGAACAATCAGCTGCTATTTTGTTGGATATGTTGAACGCTCTCGGGGCTTTAAGTTTTATAATCCCACTACAAGATCCTTTTTTGGAGACGGGAAATGCCAGATTCCTTGAGGATGTTGAGTTTGGGGGGAAGATAAAATAAGGAATGTTGTCTTTGATGAGGAAGAAAATAATATTTCTCTTCCTAATATTGTCATCATTCAAGATGCAATTACGGAACAAGCAATTAATGATCAGGTCCCTGTTCATGACATTGTTATGGAACAGGCTTTGGTCCCTGACATTGTTTTGGGTCAAGACAATAATGAATCACCCCATATGCCACCTATAGAACAAACTCAACAAACTCAAGAAGTGCCATTAAGGAGATCCACTAGGGAAAGGAGAAATGCAATTCCGGATGATTATATTGTGTTTCTTCAAGAGCATGAAAATATTTTAAGCTTGCAGGAAGATGATCCAATCAACTTCCAACAAGTCTTAGAAAGCTCTAATGCTCATAAATGGATTGATGCCATGAAAGATGAGATGCAATCTATGAAAGACAACGACGTTTGGAATCTTATTGAGTTGCCTAAAGGTGCGAAACCCATTGGTTGTAAATGGATATTTAAAACCAAAAGGGATTCAAATGGCAACATCGAAAGATATAAGGCATGTCTAGTTGCTAGAGGTTTCACTCAGAAAGAAGGCATAGACTATAAAGAGACTTTCTCTCCGGTTTCTACGAAGGACTCCTTTAGGACAATAATGGCGCTTGTGGCTCATTTGGATTTGGAGCTACATCAGATGGACGTAAAGACAATGTTTCTCAATGGTAACATTGATAAGACAATTTATACGGTGCAACCAGAAAACTTTGTATTGGGAGATTCAAAGTCTATGGTTTGCAAATTGAAAAAGTTCATATATGGCCTTAAGCAAGCTTCTCGTCAATGGTACCACAAATTCCATCAGGTTATTATCTCCTATGGCTTTGAGGTGAACTTAGTGGAAGATTGTGTGTATCACAAGTTCAGTGGGAGTAAATTCATATTCCTGATATTATATGTTGATGATATCTTACTTGCCAGTAGCGATGTAGGCTTATTGCATGAAACCAAAAAACTTCTCATTAAAATTTTTGAGATGAAGGACCTTGGTGATGCATCTTTTGTCTTAGGAATACAGATACTTCGAGATCGCGCTCAAGGTATCCTACGGTTATCACAAAAGGCCTACATTGAAAAGATTTTGGATAGATTTGGCATGAAGGATTGTACGTCAGGAGATACGCCCATATCTAGGGGAGACAAGTTTAGTTTTTCCCAATGCCCTAAAGGTAAGCTTGAGATGATAGAAATGACAAAGGTACCTTATGCTTCGGCAGTAGGAAGCCTTATGTATGCCCAGGTTTGTACTCGCCCTGATATAACATTTATAGTGGGAGTGTTAGGAAGATACTTGAGCAATCCAGGAATGGATCATTGGAAAGCAGCCAAGAGGGTTATGCGGTATTTAAAGAGAACTAAAGATTATATGCATACATATCAGAGGTCAGATGAATTAGAGATCGTCGGATATACTGACTCTGATTTTGCTGGATGCCAAGATAGTAAAAGATCCACGTCAGGTTATGTCTACATGTTGGCTGGAGGAGCTATTTCTTGGAAGAGTGTTAAACAAACACTCGTAGCTTCCTCTACTATGGCCGCTAAATTTGTAGCTTGTTTTGTGGCATCCAACCATGGGGTATGGCTGCGAAACTTTGTCACATGGCTACATATAGTGAGTCGTGTTGAAAGGCCACTGAAGATTTATTGTGACAACAGGTCAGCAGTGTTGTACTCCAACAACAACAGAAGCTCTTCAAAATCGAAGCACAACGATATAAAGTTTCTGGTTGTTAAAGAAAGAGTTCAGAGCGGTCAGATTTCCATAAAACACATAGGGACGAACTCCATGTTTGCGGATCCGCTTACTAAAGGCTTAGTGCCTAAGGTCTTTCACGAGCATACTGCTCTTATGGGTGTTGTTTTGTTCGATGACACTACGGTACGGTTTAGTGGGAGTTCTTTATGTTAGTGTTCTATAAAGATTAAATTTTCTGCAGAATAAAGAATTCAATGTTATTTTCCCTCTGAATGTATTAAATTTTGTGCTTGTATTTCTGCTTTGTGTATGCAGAAAATTTAGGATTGATCTCATAAAGATTAAAGTAGGACCAGTTGGAAATAGGCATGGTAAGATCACATTGCATGTAATTTCCATGCCTCTCATCCATACTTGATCTATGTCATTTAATATATTGGTGTGATGACCATGGAAGGTTTAGTTACGCTTGAAAGTGACAAAAGCCGCCATGATCTCATATTGATATAGGAGGTGGACCAGATTGTATCTAAGGAGGAATCTAAAGAAAAATAGCATACAGTTGCGCACTAAAGATATATGATATAATTATCTCAAGTTAATATGTGGCCTAAGTGGGAGATTGTTAGAAAATTATATTTTTTAATAATTATTGTGGGTCACATATTATATTAATAATTATATTATGCTATTTATATATATTGGGTAAATTAAAGTGATCAGGTAAATATTCCCAAATAGATTCCTAAGTAAGTATGGGCTGAATGAGTGGATACCGGTGTTGGGCCAACTAGGTATAATGGGAGCTTATTGGCCCAACAATAAAGATAAAAACACTATAAAGGGTTATGGTCCCCAATACGTCAAATGTACAACCCTAGTTTCTCTTCCCCATCAAGAGAGAGACGGCACACTAAGGAATTTGATTTTAGGGTGATTTGACTGAGGAAGACTACAAACCCCAAGAGACAAGATCAAAGTTATTCCGCTGCAATGGAGACAGGTATGCCTCCACCTTTATGTTATTCTTATTTTTCTTTATGATTTGGTATGATGGATCTTGGCTTGTAGGTGATAGTTATCACCATAAGGTTTAGAGGAATTAAAAATTCCAACACAGCTACCCTTTGACTAGTAATCTCTGTTGATTGGATAAAACATTTCTAAATAAAGACGTACCAGAAACCACAAGCAATGGCGAATATCGTCTTTCAGGAAGAATATACTTATCACCAAACAACTTTATCACATTTACAACTAACCTAATCACCGTTGATTTCCATCAATCTAATGGTTATAATTTATTGAATTTAATTTGAATTAATAATTAATTAGTAAATGTTGCCCAATAATTTTTAATAAATTATAATCATTAGATTAACGAAAATCAACGATGATTAAGTTGGTTATAAACTTTTTTAGTGGTAAGTATATCCTTCCCCTCAAAAGATATAATAAACATAGCCTAAATCTAATATTAGATTGCCAAATGTATGTTTATGATGTGAGCGACTAAGGAGTCCCCTTGTCCAGAAACAAGGGAAGATAATATCTCGATTACAAAACAGGGAAAGGAAAGAGAAGTTTGACACCTTCACTGGTAATAAATCCAAAAATTGCCTCTAAAAATTCTCCGACTTTCCAATCACATGTTCTCTTAAAATCTAAGTTCCTTAAATTTACCATCGGTTCTTCATAGGTGCACATGTTCAGAATATATAGTAAACCGACACAGTCATTAATAATTTTATAGTAGTTCAACTGCATCTAGAAACAAAGTCATGTAGACATTTACTTTACTACCATGTATTTTACCCTTCAGCAGAATTTTCCTCTTCTTGGAAATTCAAATTCATTCCTTTAAGTGCTAACCATCCACAACCACAAATCCGCATTCCGGTAAAACAGCATAAAAATATAGTTGATATTGGCCTTTAATGCCGCATTCAAATTCATTTTAATTAAGCAGTCTTTCCTTACCACCAAGGAGCAGTACCACAGCAATCCAATCGTCTCCAACACCAAAAGGATATTGAGAAAAGGGATTAATTCTGCAAGTGAAATGCAGTAATTACGAGAAAGGTAGTAGCATCCAAAAATAAAATAAAATAAAAAATAAAAAACCCAGGTTAGCAAACTAGTCTTGAAATATGATTTTCAGTAAAGAAATCCTATCCACCAAAAAGAGCATACATTCAACTAAATCGCAGCACTTGAATAGGCTCAAGTTCAAGGAGATGAAATACTGAAATTAATGGTGTGTGCTAAGTTCTAGGGAATCCCCACACGTAAAATTCGTTGCCGTAACAAGCATCCAGAATGCATTGAATGTGTATTAATAAAGTAAATAACTACTGTCAAGGAAGAGTTTGAAATGCAACAAAAGCATTCAACCATTTCGTTAAATTTTTTAATTACTAAACAATTCCTAAAAGAACGTTTGTCAATCCAGCATATGCAAGAAACCAAAAGCACTCTTCCATCACCATAACAACAACTTGAAAAAAAAATCTGGCAAAAAGGAATGATTATAAACACAGGAAAGCCAATGATTACGATTACAGATTCATTCCTTTGTAAACGAGTGCATATACCATAATCCGATCGAAAACATTGCAGAGAAACCTCAAACTTCTATGCGGCATTTATGATTAACTCATTAAGTTGAGAAATACAACCTAGAAACTATATCTATTTCCTAGATCGTCCCCAAAAAAACATTCATACAACTTTTAAAACATAAGTGGATCCAACTACACTAAAACATAAAGTAATTTACAAAACTACCCACCTACACAAAAACTAGACTCATGTTTTCACTTCCTTCCACCTCTCTTCAATGAAGCCCTCTTCGCCGGTGACTTTAAACTCTTCACCGGTGCTTTCTTCGCAGCCGTTGCCTTCTTCGGTACCGGCTTGGAAATTGGTGCTTTCCTACCCGGGGTCATCCTTGTTGAGGTCCTTGCAGCCTTTGCAGGTCTCACCTTCGTCTTTGGTTTCACAGCTGCCTTCGGCTTTGGCTTCGCAGCAACAGCAGGCTTGGGCTTGGGCTTGGGCTTCGCCGGAGCAGCTTTGGACTTAGTAGCAACAGCCTTGGTCTTGGCAGGAACAGCCTTGGCCTTGGGCTTCGGCTTCGCAACCGGCTTGGCCTTCACCGGTTTCTTGGTGGTCGCGGCTGCTACCTTGGTTGTTTTAGTAACCTTAGCCTTGGAAGCTGGCTTGGGCTTGGGCTTGGGCTTGGCGGCTACAGGCTTCTTCTTCTTGGCTGGGGAAGATGATGCGGTCGCCGGCGATGACTTGACTGGAGGAAGCTTGAAAGAGCCTTTAACCTTAACGAGCTTTTCAGAAGCGACGAGCTTCTTCAAATGGTTAAGCAATAGCTTCCTGAAGTTAGGAGGAAGCTGCTTATGCTTTTCTTCGATGAACTTGGCAATCGCATATTGGCTCGAACCTGTCTTCTCCTTCAGCGTCACAATCGCATCCTTAATCATCTGCATAGCAACCATGTCAATTCAAAATCAGATCCGAATCCAATTCAGATCACAATTCAAACAAAAAAAAAAATTAAACTATGATTCGAATCAAAATCAAACCTCTTCATAAGAAGGATGAGAGGAAGGGTTCCGTGGTTTAGGAGCAGAAACTTTCTTAGGTTTGGGATCCTTGGCTTTCTTCGCCTTGGCTGGCGCAGCTTCAGCTTCAGGCATTGTTTCCTCTTTTTCCTCAGGCAGAGGCAGTGGTTCGGTGCTGCTCGGCTCAGGTACGGGTTCCACGGCAACAGTGGGCTCTTCTGACGCCATGGCTGTGGTTAGGTTTATGGCTATGGTTTGAATTAGGAAAAGGCAATGGAATTAGGGAGGAAATGGATCTGTGTAAAAGACGGTAGCACTGGGGAATTAGAATTTCTGTGTGAGAGAAGATGAAAGAACTTTGATGGTTTAAATAATTAATTGTGTGTAGGACGATATCCAATTACTTATTTCTCATTGGTTCATGGAACCCTCCCACGGATTCATGTCCTGTTCTAGTTTAAATGCGAGCCCTTAGATGAGACTTTATTAACGGTTGGTGATGCTTGACTGGGGGAGGCCGTGGTGGAATGTTATGACAAGATTTGGGGTTGCTGTAGGTTGGTTTGGGTGTGCTTTTGAGCTCAATTCCTTTGTTCATAACTTGAGCTGTGATTGATGAATGTGAGTGGGGTTTTTTCAGTCTTGTAGATAATTTTGTGAGGTTTCTGATGAGTATTTCAGCGTGTTGAATGGATGTGTGATTTTGGAGAAATTTGGTTTTGAAGGCACAATGGTCATGACTAGGGTTTCTTATGATGTTGTCGAAGCTTTTCCCAAATTATGGGCAATGCTTTGATTGGGGATAAGATCAATCCACCCCTTGTGGTAATAGGTTAACAGAGGATTCTATTGCATCAAGAATCATGAAAATCGGATGAGATTTGAATATGGAACAATTGCTTAGAAAGTCACTAAGGTTGAACAAGTCTTCCCAAAGAACATGTGTTCCCATGCATTGTGTGTAGAACAAAGCTGTTTTACATTTATTATGGTGAATTATCATTCATTTGCAGAAATCCAATATTGTAAAGAACCAACATTGTTTAATTTCATCGCATGTTTAGTCCTAAAAATTTGTTATCACAATAAGGTAAAAATGCTTAGGAAGGACCATCCAAGGTACACATATTTCCCTCCTCTTTCTTTCTTATTATTTCTCTGATGTCAAAAACTTCCACTACACTCTCTTTCAAGGGAGAGAAAAAATCACAACATACAAATGATTGATGTAAGTGACAATCAGGAGTAAAATTTGGATACCACCATTTCCTCTCCGAAATTTACCATCATAAATGAAACTTTGTAGCAACATACTGTGTATGCCATATCTAGATATAGATATGTCTGTTACTAATCATTTACTATTGAAATTGCCATGGTTGGTTTTCTCCCCTTATTTTTTTGGTAACTAGGTATATCTTGGTCCATTTGGATGAGACTAATTCCCATCGTGATATAAAATATGAAGGTTCTTGCCACTGACTCCAAGTTGTTTTACCTAATAATCAAACCTGAGAACTTTCAATCCTACTAATCCATTCCTTGACCACAGCCCACTTACCAGCTGATTGATGCATATTTGATGGGATGGAAAGAGCTAGACAAGACCCTGCTTGTTGATCCAAATGAAATCGATTGTCTGAAGAGGGTTGCGATGTTAAATGAAGATGCCAACTCCATATATGAACTTTACAAGCACCCCAACCCAACTTGTGAAGCTGGATCAATATGGAAAGACATTGTATTATCTCCTTCAAGGTTGAACATCTAATAGGAGCTCAAGTATTCAATCCAGAAGGTTGGGAAATTAAAAATTCTAACCTCGTAAAGCAGTGATGATATATTTCTCCTTGTGGCTTGTAAGATAAGGTTCAGAAGACGGAAACCATCTAGATTACAAAAGAAAAGCATGAGATAAGCTCAATGAGCTTCCATAGGTTATTGAAATTTGTTACCGATGAAAATTTATGTATGTTGTAGTCATCTGATGAGCTCAAATGTACAAAAGAACAACATATAGTCAAAATCTTAAAATTTCATCAAAAGAACAACAACATATAGGGAAAACCATATTGATCTGATGACCTTGAGTTTTCAACTCTCCCAAAGGAATTCCAAATTAGAGGCACCAACAAGGATTTTTCTTTCTATTGGAAGCTACCAAACTCGAGTTTTGTATAGTTTAGAATCCGGTGAACTTGGCAGCTACTAAACTCTTTCTGTAGTAGGAATTTGTTTTTCTAATATGAACAGATCCGGGACTCCCCTTCATGTAACTTATTTATCTCATGTTGTTTGAAAAAAAAATTCATGAGTGACAACTGAAGACAATATGCATTGGTAGTTGCAAATTTGGAGACTAAAACCATACAATAGGAGTTTATCAGTTACTATTAGCTGAAGTGCTAAACACAATCAATCAATCATGACCATGAGAATAGCTAGGTACCACTTTTTCTGCTATCAATAGTCTTCTCCCTCCCCGGTCCCCCAACTTAACCACTTTTCTTGGCCTTTTGACCATGATGATGTGAGTTTTAAAATGTATCACCGGAGTAATTTGTGGATAAAAAGTTTTGCCAATATAATGCATGACAACGCGGTTGGGAAGTTGACGCTTAAGGACGTGATACGATCAATGCCGCGTTCTGTACAATATTTTGGCACCGTTATCCGTGTCCTTAAGACGTGATACCATCCCTACCACGTCCCTGCTACGTTCTGTACCGTGTCCTTAGTTTTGTACCTTTGTCCTTAAGACGTGATACCATCCCTACCACGTCCCTGCACATTCTGTACCGTTGTCCTTAAGACGTGATACCATCCCTACCACGTCCCTGCTATGATCTGTACCGTGTCCTAAAACGTGATATATTAACTGCCGCGTCATTTGCAACCAGTCACTTCCACGGTGCACCAGACGCGGTAGGTAATCAAACATGTTCCGGTTAGTCATTTCAAAACAAACGTGACGCTGGTTCAAACGCGTCCAATTAGCCAATCAGATTTCTCCATGGACTATGGGAGTCCTGAAAATGTCTCTTCCCCAACCGTGTCCGGGCCTATATTAACTACCACTCCCGGTCCCCATATCATCAGTTTGCCTCTGCATTTCACTAAGCGTTAAGGCCTTCTGGTATGTATCTTTGTTCTATACTTTTGTTGAAGTGTTTGTTCTGTTATGGAAAAAAAAATGTTGAGTTGTTTGTTCTTTTATGGAAAAAAAAATGTTGAGCTGTTTGTTCTTTTATGGAAAAAAAACGTTGAGCGTTGTTTGTTCTTGTGGAAAAAAAAACGTTGAGTTGTGTTGTTTGTTCTTTTATGGAAAAAATAATATTTCAAACTCAATGTTCCATACTTTCTCTGTTGCTTAGTTGAAGTGTTTTTTGTAATATGAAAAAATAAATTTATGAATATCAGATTATGTTCATAGTTAATCATGCTTTTTATTTGTTATTTCATGTATGCTTTATACTTTAGTATTTATTTTCCACTAAAAATTTATCATAGTAATTATATGTTGTATGTAAAAAAATAAAGACATTTTCAAGGCACCTCAGGTAATATTATTTCATACGTTGCACTAAGTAGTAGTTTTGTTATATTGCATTATATTTCATAGTTTCTACCATATTAAATATTTTGTATTTCTATCTTTTGTGGAATTTTTTGCAGGAAAAATGAGTTCAAATTTACAAACAGTTCGTGCACTTATATATTATAATGGTAGAAAGGTTATGGGTCGTCGTGGTGTAACATTTGAAGGTGAAAAACGACCAATGCGTATTACACGCGGTACTACCTTTGCGCAGTTGAAAGCGAACATTCATCAGAAATTGGGATTACAAGGGAATCAACGTATTTCTGAAGTCACCGTAAGAGCTTTTGCTGGCAATTCTGAATACACAGCGATATCTATTACAGATGATGATGATGTTGATATTATATTAGACATATTTGTGGAACAAGCTGCTGACACGAGTTCTTATCATACAAATGGTAGAAAGTTTGTGGAGATATATGTAAATTTTGAAAATACCGATGATTTGTCAGTACCGCAAAGGTCGCTTGATCTGAATACAACACCAGTCATTGATTATTTAAACAGACATGCATCATCATCTATACTTCCAGATGCACCCAACAGTGCGTTATTTGATGATGTGGACATGCCAACATATGACCGTAATGACGATGACGAAGAAGAAGAAGACGAGGATGCGTGCCTGGCAGCCGACATTAATGACGATGACTCAGCTAGCGAAGATGACGACCATCATAATCCATCTGATATGCCTATAGGGTTTCAAAGCAACGTCAATGAATCCACATCAACGGGTATCGTTGGGTATGAAAATATGGTTCAAGGTTAGTTGACAAGTGATTTATTTAAATAAATTTACAATCTACATTATGTAGTTCAATTAACGTTTTAGTTGTTTGTATGTTATGTAGGTGACAATGTAACTCCCAATGTAGGTCCTAATGTGACGCCGTTTTGGAATGGAATATCACATTACTCATACATTAATTATGAGTATCTGAATGAAGATCGAGAATACAACGAGAGGGAGTATCATGGTGCATGGGCCATTGGGGATGAGTTGTTTGTTAAACAAGAATTCGAATCTAAGGAATCAGTGCAGATGGCAGTTAAGTCATATTGTATGAAAATTAATAAGGAAGCTATTGTTGTTGAGAGCACGACTATGAAGCTAGTATTGAGGTGCAGGAACCATGAGTCGGGGTGTCCATGGCGAATGAGGGCAATGAAACCAAAAAATGGATTAATGTGGGTTGTGAGTAGATGGGAGGGACCTCACAATTGTGTCACTTGTAATTTGTCCCAAGATCAGAGACAACTTGATTCCGCCTTTATTTCTTCGACGATATTAGGTGAGTGTTTTTGTCCAATTAAATTTGTATTTCTCAAGTTTTATATCCACTTCGGCAAGCTATTAAGGTTATGTATGTATATTGTTTTGGCAGAAATGGTGAAGGAAGAACCTCATGTATCAATCGGTTTGATACAAGAAAGAATCCGAAACAATTATGGATTCACTATTTCATACAGGAAGGCGTGGAAGGCTAAACAAAAAGCCATGGCAAAAATATATGACGATTGGGACCAGTCTTATGCTTATTTGCCCAGATGGTTGAATTACATGTTGACATTTTCTGAGGGTTCGGTTTACCACATTCAGACAAATGATTACGTGTCAATCACCGTGTTGTGACTGGTTCCCGGGTTTTTCATAGAATCTTCTGGACTTTTAAGCAATGTTGTGACGCGTTCAACTTCTGCAAACCTGTTATACAAGTTGATGACACTCATTTATATGGGAAGTATAAAGGTACATTGTTGATTGCCACAACGCAGGATGGAAACGAGAGGTATTACCATTGGCATTTGCAGTGGTAGAAGGTGAAACCAAGGAGTCATGGGAATACTTTTTGTCTTGTATACGTTTGTATGTCACTCAAAAGACAGGTATATGCCTAATATCAGATCGACATCGAGGAATATTATCGGCAGTTGCAAACCCTTATCTTGATTGGCAGCCTCCAAAAGCATACCATGTACGGGCACCAAATGATAATGAGTATACGGGCGCCAAATGATCTGCGAGAAAACAACCAATGTTAGTAATATAACGCTTAAATAATGTAACCGATAAACACCTAAAGCCATGTACAAACTCCTACATCGGTTCTGCTCATAGTGTCAAGTGTCGATCTATAGTGCATCAAATCCTTTGGTCGTATCCGCCTTGGAAAATTATTAAATCTGAAGGAAACAAGCCCAAAAAATAAGAAAAAAGCCATTTGACTCCAAGTCTTATTGTATAACGACAACTTTCGCAGTACAATACGCAAATATCATCATACCTTCTTTCGTAATGATCATTTGGATCGGTTTCAGGTGGTATAAATGGTGCAATGGGGGGGAATCTGGACCATGCCCATATCTGCAACAAGGTCAGGCAACCAGACATAATATTTTGGGCTGGGTTTGTCGCCATGCACAATTCCCTGTAGAGGAGTGCTAACACTGCTGCGCCCCAACTATACGTGGTCATACCCGAAAAATCCCCATCTAGAAATGGCAAAAATCGTAGGGCAACCTTATTCCCTGACTTGTCACTAAAAAGAAATCCACCAATGAGGCGTAATATATAAGCCCGTGAATAGAGGAGTTCAGTATGAGGCATGCCTTGGTGCGCAACCCAATGTCCATAGTGTCGATCTATGAAGGACATTCGCAAATAGCTTCCCTCAATCTCATGCGGCAAAGGTTGATGTCCTAGCATTTGTTGTACAACATTACTCCAATTTGCGGATGTCGGTCCAATAAGGGGTTCCCCGTCTGATGACAATCCAAGAATAGCATTCACATCTTGAAGAGTAATGGTCACTTCGCCTTGCGGCATATGAAATGTATGTGTTTCTGGGCGCCAACGCTCAACCAGAGCACTAATAAGTGAATGATCAATCTGCAACACATTATACAATGATAAAAGTAGTCGCTATCCTATAATAAGTACAAGCACATAATTCATGTCACTTTTAAATAACTAACCGGCATATGATGCATGCGTGCAACATGATAAAAGCCTGCACGCCTAAGGTGCTCCACCACTGGCTCCGGAATGTGATCCGGATCATGCGGATCTGACTCCTTCCCGTGCGTTGCTCTACGAACTTTGAGAACCCTCTGCAATCCCGAGTTCCATACAACTTGGGACACATGTGTTTCTTGCACATCAATTCTCAACACACTGTAATCTTCGGGACCCGGATTAATCACTTCACGTGCCATGAACCTGTGTTATGCAAGTTTAATGTCATAACAATATATAGCACATTTAACGAATTTTATAAAATAACTAATACAATAATAATAAAAATTTTATACTATTGAAAATAAAACAGCAATAATAATAAATAATAGAAAATTTTAAAAAATAAATAGGCTAACCTAAGATTTTAAGGACCGTAAAAATTTAATTATGCAAAAAATATAAGTCCAATAACCATAACATATTCATAATAAAATTAATTTTTTTAACAAATTTTATAATAGAAATATAACATATTTAACAACTTTAATAGAATAATGAATACAATAGTACTAAAATCTTATACGCATAATATAAAACAGTGATAGAAGACAAAAAATAAATAGGACCAGTGTAGACACAAATTTTAATCATGCATTAAATATAAAGCCAATAATAATAATAATAATAATAATAATAATAATAGTAATAATAATATAATACTTTTAACAAATTTAATAATATAAATATAGCTTGATTAACAACTTTAATAGAATAATAATAAAATTTTATGCAATTAAATATAAAACATTAATAATAAAATTACTAGCAAATCATAAAACTAAATATACTAACCTAATATTTTTAGCAACAAAGAAAGAGACCTTTAAAGAACATAAAAATACAATAAAATTATTAATATAACATATAACATATTGAACAAATTTTATAAAATTATTAATACAATAATCACAAATTTTTGTTGCAATTAAATACAAAATATTAATACTATAAACAATAGCAATAATCACAATTAAATTCACTATTCTAACATTTTAAGACAAAAAGAGAAACTTACAAAAATCTAATATCTTAATAATATGATTTTAACACATGTGGACCAGATTATAATACTACTTACTTGAAAATATGACAAATCTAATATGTTAATCATACAGCAAACCTAATATCTTAATAATACTGCAACCCATTAATTTTAATAATACAACCAACCAAGCATATAATAATACTACTTACTTGAAAATGATACACACAATGGCAAACTGAAAGAAACCCCACAACCACCAGACGCGTTATTCGTTGGAAGAGACTGGGATCTTCTGCCGGAGACGAGGGAGAATAAGTAGTAGTCCAAGGAGGGTTGGACGCGGCATCTAGAAGAACGCCTCCTGGACGCGGCTCTGAGACGACCGCCTTCAGTGGAGGACATGGTGGACCACCATTGGCTGGCGGTTCGCGGCTTGACAGGTACCGCGTCAGTGGTCTTCCGACACTGCAGAGACGCGGTCTTCACACAATCACGTTCCAGTTACATCACTTCAGCCCAGTTCCATCACTTCCAGCACCGATTGTCACGTGATTTCTGTTGCATGTAACGCGGTTTGGAACAAAACGCGACTGAAAACGGTACATTGTCCACCGCGTCGTTATGCATTATTCCGGCAATACATTTCACCTCGAAATCATTCCGGTGATACATTTGAAAACTCACATCAGCATGGTCAAAAGGCCTCTTTTCTTTGTACTCTTTTACTTGTGCTTCAACTCCAACACTTTTTTCTTGTTCCATGTAAATCTGCTTTAGTATTAATAGAAAGTTGAAATGACAGATTTTTAAACAGGGAGAAAATGTTAAGAAGGGATTTATAGAATCAAACAATGAGAGTTCCTCTCAAATTCCTTGTAGGAGTTTAATTTGTAGATACCCAGTTAAATGGATCTGGTATTTCTTTTTTTCTTTTTCTTTTTGTAATGAATGGATCTGGTATTTCTTTTTTTCTTTTTCTTTTTTGTAATGAATGGATCTGGTATTTCAATATGTCTATGCTTGGTACAAGATTTTAAAAAATTCATCTAGGAAAATGATTTGCCCAACATTTGATATTTGTGTGAAAATTGTGAGTAAAAACATTGCCGAAAAAAATCACTTAGAAGGTGGTATTTTCGGATTACTTACAAATTGTAAAAAGGAGAGCGAAGCTAGGTGACGAAAATGACCTTGTATTCAGCCTACCAAAAATTACTCTTATTTAGTCGACGGTTGTTGTCATAATTTCACCTTTTTTTTCTAGCAATATTTTACTTTCAATCAAACATAGATTTAGGAAACTTAAACCAATTTTTTCGATAATATTTCATTCTACCAAGTAATTTTTTTTTAACTTTCCTAGAAAACTCATTTTCCCACTATATTTTCAGTAATTATAATTTTTTGATAAAAAAAAATTCTGCTCTACCAAATGCCTCCCAGCAAACACCACGGACAACTGTGACTTGAGCCAAAAACTAGGGCCTCTATCATGTGAGCAGGTTGCCGCTACAAAAGGCCAACAATGTCACTACCCTAAACATTGCCTAACAGATCAAACCCCTAGTAGATACGTACACCAAGCCAAGAAATACATGTAAGGAAATGAGACTCACTACCATTTCTCTGAATACTCTTTCTCTTGAATACATGCACACACTTTCACATTCATATTTTACAGTACTTTCTATTAATTAAATATCAAATTTGTTTCACTAGCAACATCCCTACAATAAATCAAGGGATTTGTTGCAAGAAATTTGATGGATAAATTATTGATGAAATAAGTTTGATATTTGATTAATGATGATGATATTCCGTGATGTGTGTAAACGTATGTGAGTAAAAAATTTTCTTCTAAAGAAGAAAGCAACTACATCATCTGCTAAAGTTCATCAGCTGGTCCAGAATGCTAATATTAGCAAAGGCAGATTAAATGCTTCAAAAGGTGCAGAATCTCAAAAGAATAACTTAAAACTTGATTCTCAGAAGAATATGTCGGAGGATTTCCAAGATAGACAAATAGTCTTGCACCCTTCTTTATCTAAATTCCAAAGGAAGACGTCTCATGTGGTTAATGATCAGCAAGAGACTCTTCCTCCTTCTAGAGTCTTGGATAATGGAGGCAAACATGGAAGACCACCAGATGCTCTTACGTTGATGAGGAACTTTTATCAAACTCACAAGGATTGTATCCATTTGGATAATTTGGACGTTATGGGTGCGACATCTGTCTATACTAATGCTCTTTCTTAGGGCCGGTTTCTGTTCGGATAAATTTAAGATTGTTTTCTATGAATATTTTGACCTGGAATTGTAGAGGGGCTGGGAAAAGAAGTTTTTCACCTCTGATTCGGGACCTTTCTCATAAATACAGTATTAAAGTTATGGCTTTGTTAGAAATCAGATTGAGTGGTGTTATGGCGGATAGAGCTATTCGGCGTCTTGGTTTTTCTGGTCACTTTCATCGTGATGCTGTTGGTTTTTCTGGCGGTATTTGGGTGCTTTGGAACACTAAAGAAGTTTCAGTGGATGTTCTTTTTTCTCATCACCAACTTGTTCATACTAAAATTTGTTGGGTAAAAGAAAATAGAGAGGAGTTCATGACTTTTATTTATGCAAGTCTGTGGAGACATGAACGTATTCAGCTGTGGGGAATTCTGTCTTCACTGTATGATCAGTCCATGAGGAATGCTGCTTGAGGGATAGCAGGTGATTTTAACACTTATTTGTATGAGTATGAGAAGCTAGGTGATAATGGGCATAACTGGAATAGCATGAGAGAGTTTTAAGATTGTTTAGATGAATGCAGCTTGTCTGACATTGGCAATCAAGGTCCTATTTTCACTTGGCAAAGAAGAAATCTTCAGGAACGTCTTGATAGGGTTTGCGCTAATGATAATTGGAACATGGTTTTCCTTAACCGTGTGGCTTTCAACTTGCCTTTTTTTGGTTCAGATCATCGACCAGTGTTATTATGGGAAGGTCAACCTGATATTTATCCGAGAGGGGAGCGTCCTTTCCGTTTTTTAGCGTCCTGCTTAACAGAAAGCACTTTTCATGAGGTGGTTAATGGATGTTAGTCAAATAATGTAAACTGGATGCATGCTATGGAGACGTTTCGGATTAATGCTTCAGAATGGCATAGAAATGTTTATAGGGTTGCTCTGGAAAGAAAGAATGATTTGCATGCAAGGATTAGAGGTATTGATAGATGTCTTAGTTATCAATCCATTCATAGCCTTGAGATGTTGCAAAAGAATCTATGGAGGGAACTAGACAAGATTTATCTTCAAGAGGAAATCACTTGGTTTCAAAGATCGAAATTGAATTGGTTTGCTCTTGGAGATAGGAACTCGTGTTTCTTTCATTCTGTGACGGTTGCCAGACGTAGGAGGAATCGCATAGATACGTTGAAAAACTCGGAGGGAGTTTGGATTGGTGATCAGCAGGTTTTAATGGAAATGGCTGTTTCTTTCTTTGAAAATCTGTACACAAAAGATCCATTACCGTGGGAAGGATGGTATTTCCAGTTCGTGGCTTTTTTCTAGTTATTGAAGCGCATGTTTTAGACACTATGAGTAATATTCCAAACAGTAAGGAGATCAGAGATGTAGTCTTCTATTTTGGTCCATACAAGTCGCGTGGGAAGGATGGGCTTAATGCTCTTTTCTTTCAATCTCAGTGGGATAAGGTGGGTGAGTCAGTTATCTCTTTTGTGAAAGGTGTGTTCCTTCATCCGGATAATATCAAAGAGGTTAACCAAACTTTGATTTGTTTGATTCCTAAGATTGATGTGCCTGAATTACTTAAGAATAAAATCTCAAATAGGACACATTTCTTATTAGACCTCCTCAAGATCGTGACCAGTAGGTATATATGGAAATTTCAAACTCAACTCAATGTAATCCTGTAAAAAAAAAAAATTAACTCAAACATATTCAAACCATAAGTGTTTATGAAATCAAAGATGTAGCAAAACCCATCTAAAACATATAATTTAAAATTAATTCATAACATTATGCAGAAAGCTGATTGATAGAGAGATAAGAAAGGTTTTGAAGGCAAAAAAATTAAAATGCATTGACTATGTCATTAGCGATGCGCCTCGACACACTCTAACACAAGGCGGGACATTGACCGTACTGTCTTTTTTTAATAAAATATACCTGAAAGTCAAGGAGTCAAAAAAAAAATTCAAATTGCCACGACACCATAGTTGTTGTGGTAATCAGCTACTATGGACGGGACACGTGTCACTTTCCCAATGGCTGGAAACCAAAGTAGCTGACTACTTCATCAACTATGGATTACGTGTCTAGCCTCTTGGGAAGTAACACGTGTCCCGTCTATAGTAGCTGACTACCTCAGCGACTATGGTGTCGTGGCAGTTTGAAAAAAAATTCGGCTCTGTGACATTCAGGCATATTATCTTAAAAAAGGGGGCAGTATGGTCAATGTTTACACAAGGCACCAAGTTCTTCCGTTATTTGAGTATACAGAGTCAAGAGGGGAAAAAAAAGAAGAGAATGTGAATTTGTTTTAGAAGAATAAATTTTTTAAGAAATAAGATTGAATGCTAGACATCCAACGAAGAAAGAAGAAAGTCACGAAAAGATTGAAACAGTACATTTTTTAAAAAATTTGAAAAAGAATGAAGGAAAATTTTCAGTTTTTGATTTATGAAAAAGTACGATAGAAGATTTTTGCTTAATCACATAGACTCTAACGCAAATGATTGCCTTGCTAACGGATATGCTTAATTATTTTAATTCCATAGTTTAAGGAGATTAATTTATTTAATTAAAGTAAAGGGCACCTTTTTGAAGAGGGGTCTAGTTATAAGGAGCTAAATTGTAATTTAGCCTAAAATGTAAGTTCCCTGAATTTATTATTGATTCTTCATACATGCTCATATTCACAATATTTAGTAAACTACCACATAATTAAGGAAAAAGCATGTCATCGGCTCATTAATAATTTTATGGTAGTTAATCGCCGCAATGATTTGCATCGCGCCGCACCAATACACAATAGTGGTCTTTGCAGTTGCATTGGCTACCAATTAGCGTCGTTATAGTGTCATAAGACAAAATGTCAATTCTACCCTCATTTTAAATGTCTAATAGAAATATTTTAAGCATTTTTAGTCTTTTTGCGGGTTTAACCCTGACCCCCTTTCTTTTTCTATCTTTCTTGCACGCCTCTGCCTTTCTTGCCCTTTATCTCTTGCATATCTCTGACTCTAATGTCTCTCTCGCTTTCTCTCAATTGTCTCTGCCTCTCTCGCTTTTGCTTGCCCTTTGCCTCTCACACACTCTGTCTCGCGTTGGCAAGTAAGCTATATGACCTCTACTTTTTTTAATATATATATTATTTATCTTAGTATTTTATATTGTTTATCTTTTAAGCTCTGTGTTACTTGTATTGAAAAATTGTTGATGCTTCTACCAAGTCCTTATCCTTGTTTTGATAGAATGCTTTGCTTTTCTATTGATAGAAACATAATTGGGGTTCAAGTCTCTCCTGAGAGACTTTGGGTTTTTAGTAGACATAATGTCATGTGGGGCCACTATTTTAATATAAAAAAAAAGACTCACACATTTTTCTAGGGATCAACAAGAGAATTGCATTTCCCCACATAATAATAATATGAGTAATGGGTTTAGAATTTTAGGTTGACCAAGCTTTTATTTTGAAATATTGATAATATTTAGATCTTTTTAATTGACTATATGTGGAATTCCTGTTTGTTTTGGAATTCTTCTTCATGATGAATAAATTTCTTTATTTTTAAACATATATATATATATATATATATATATATATATATATATGGAAATACTTTTCTTATGTTGTAGGAGAATAGTTATCTCATGTTGTAGAAATAAAATTATAAGTGGAACCCACGGGTAAGAGTAAAGAGAAAAAAAAGTGGTGGGACCAACCCTTTTTTGAATGTGTAAGAAAGTTATTTATCTCATGTAAAATGAGATAAACATAACTCATATATATATATATATATATATATGGGATAATCTTTTCTCATGTTACATGAGAAAAGATTAATCTCTTACACTCACAAAATAAAGAGATAGGAGAGAGAATAGATGAGAGAGAAAAAGTATAGAGAGAGCTCCACCTTTGATTTGTGTGTGTAAGAGAAAACTATTTTCTCATGTAACATGAGAAAATATATATAAGTTTATTAATCTACTTCGTTATTTTCACAAATGCAACCTACTATAACATTTTTGCATAGGCTTCAATTCGCATTAGATAACTTTATAGTTTAAGGGCATCTAGAACCGAAGTCATTTAGACATTTACTACCATGTATTTATTCCTTAAGCAAAACATTCCTCTTCTTGGAAATTCAAATTCGTTTCGGTAAGAACTAACATGCACAGCCAAAAATCCACACTCAATCTCAATTTCAGCTAATGCTTAATACAAATTAGGAAACATCACAACTATTTTGGTCAGGCCGGATAGACCTATCCGACAAGCTCCATTGCTGCTCTACTGGTCCATCATCATTCAGCACGTGGAGCACATGATTTCCCAACACACGTGTTTCCCCACGCACGCGTAACCCTTTACACATCACAGGTCATACAACCTCACATCTAATGAGGCACATAGAGCATTAAAACAATTGTGGCATCATGCCTTGCAAACTAAGAAGGAATCTCTAACCTACCTCAGTAAGGGCTGAAAACGGTTGTGTCATCATACAACCTCACACCTAATGAGGCACATAGGGCATTAAAATGATTGTGGCCTTGCAAACTAAGAAGGAATCTCTAACCTACCCCCAATAGGGGCTGAAAACGGTTATGTCATCACGTCATGCACACTATGATGAAATCTCTAACATACCTAAACTATTCTTTTGTTGAACTCTCCGTAGCCATAACCGTAGCCCATATATACCATCACCCTTTTGCACCTTCTTGTAGCCCGTAGACATAATCCAGTCCAACCGCTTCAAGAATCAATGACTATCACCACACACTTATACGAGACTTTTCAACGTGTTTTATTCTCACTCACACACTTCCTAGTAAGTCAGGCCGCTTTAAAAATGAATGACTATTCCACACACTAACATAGGACTTTTCAGCGTGCTTTATCCTCACTCACTTACTTCCTGGGAAAACTCCACTTCTCAGGAGGTCACACATCCCAGAATTGCTTCAAGTCAAGCATGCTTAACTATGAAATTCTTCTGTTATGGGCTACCGAAAAGTAGATGCATCTTGTTAGTATAGGTAATACCAATTAATTCTCTTATAAGTCATCTCTAACTGTGCAATTTCATACCTACACAGACAGTCTTTGAAATCTCTCTCTCGGGTGTCGATTCGATTCATTCATGTATTCCTTTAGAATCCCTCTCTTTCGGATGTTGATTCGATCCATTCATGTATTTCGCTGAAAGCCTGCCTGGTGTCAATCTCTCTCTTTCGGATGTTGATTCGATCCATTCATGTATTTCGCTGAAAGCCTGCCTGGTGTCAATCTTTCTCTTTCGGATGTCGATTCGATTCATTCATGTATTCTTTTGGAATCCCTCTCTTTCGGGTGTTGATTCGATTCATTCATGTACTCCGCTGAAAGCTTGCCAAGAGTCACTCCTTGTCTGTGCTTTTTCACACCGACGATCACTTTCTGCTATCGTCAGCGCCCGAGATATAATCCCCCTTTTGAACCCTCGGTAGGCTAGTCGAAAATATCTTAGAGCTTTGGTCTTATATCATCTTTTCTATCATTCCTTCGGATCAACATGGCGTTTGGGAAACGGATCATCTCATACTCTACTCGAATTCAGTTCAACAACAGTATATTTGAATATATCATTTCAATTTCAGCAACACGGCAATCAAGTTGTCACCAACACCAAATAGATATTGTGAAGAGGGATTTATTCTGCAAACGATCTGCAATAATTAGGACCAAGGTAGTAGCATCCAAAATAAAAGCAAGTAAAGAAAACACGGTTAGGAAAATAGTCTCAAATTTTTATTTCCATTCTATTCCTAAAGAAATCCTGCCCACCAAAAAGCCTATACTTTCAAATAAATCACAGCATTAGATTAAGTTCTAGTTTTACAGAGATGAAATTTATGGTATATCCTAAACTATAGACAATCCCCACACATAAAACTCGTTACCGTAACAAGCATCCAAGCCTGGCATTGAATTCATCGATTGTCTGGTAATGAAGTAAACAACAACTGTAAAGGAAGTGTTTGAGATTCAACATACGCATTCGACCATTTCGTTAAATTTTGTAATTACTAATCAATTCTTCAAAAAACGTTGGTCAATCCAGCGTATGCAGATGTCTCAATTTCACCCATGATAGGTATTGTGACTAGAAACCTAAAGCATTCTTCCATCACCATAAAAACAACTTGAACAAAAATCTGGTAAATAGGAATGATATTGAACGCACGAAAGGCAATGATAACAACCGCAGATTCATTCCCTTTGTAAACGGGTACAAATACTACATCCGATCGAAAATACTATCAACGGGTGCAGAAAAACCTCAAACTCTATGCTGCATTTATAATTAACTCATTTTAGTTGAGAAATACAACCTAGAAACTATATCTAATTCCTAGATCGACTCCAAAAAAAAAAAATTCAAACAAGTTAAAAAATAAAAAGTTTGATAAAATCAGATTGCATATGTTATAAGAACATATGTGGATCCAACTACACTAGAGGATAAAGAACTTTACAACACTAACCCTACACAGAAACTAGCCTCAAGTTTCAGAAACTAGCCTCAAGTTTTCACTTCCTTCCACCTCTCTTCGTTGAAGCCTTCTTCGCCGGAGACTTCACGCTCCTCACCGGTGCTTTCTTTGCAGCCGGAGCCTTTTTCGGTGCTGGCTTGGAAGGTGGTGCTTTCTTCCCCGGAGACGTCCTCGTTGAGGTCCTTGCAGCCTTAGCCGGTCTGGCCTTCGGCTTTGGTTTCACAGCTGCCTTAGGCTTCGCAGCGGCGGCGGGCTTGGGCTTCGCCGGAGCAGCTTTGGGCTTCGAAGCAGAAGTCCTGGTCTTGGCCGGAACAGCCTTAGGCTTGGGCTTCGCTGCAGCAGCTTTGGACTTCGAAGCAGCAGCCTTGGCTTTGGCCGGAACAGGCTTCGGCTTCGGCTTCGCAACAGGCTTAGCTTTCGCCGGTGCCTTAGTGGACGCGGCAGCCGCCTTGGTTGTTCTAGTAACCTTAGCCTTGGAAGCTGGCTTAGGCTTGGATTTGGGCTTTGGCTTGGGCTTGGGCTTGGGCTTAGCAGCAGCAGGCTTCTTCTTCTTGGCTGGGGAAGATGATGCGGTAGCCGGCGATGACTTGGCTGGAGGAAGCTTGAATGAACCTTTCACCTTAACGAGCTTTCCAGAAGCGACAAGCTTCTTCAAATGGTAGAGCAATAGCTTCCTGAAGTTGGGAGGAAGCTGCTTATGCTTTTCTTCGATGAACTTGGCAATCGCATATTGGCTCGAACCTGTCTTCTCCTTCAGCGTCACAATCGCATCCTTAATCATCTGCATAACAACCATGCCAATTCAAAATCAGATCCGAATCCAATTGAGATCACAATTCAAGAGAAATTAAAACATAAGAAAATTATAATTTGGATCAAAATCAAACCTCTTCGTAAGAAGGATGAGTGGGAGGGTTCCGTGGTTTGGGAGCAGAAACTTTCTTAGGTTTGGGATCCTTGGCTTTCTTCGCCGCCTTGGCTGGTGCAGCTTCAGGCATGGGTTCCTCTTTCTCCTCTGGCGGTGGTTCGGTGCTGCCTGGCTCAGGTGCGGGTTCCACCACAATAGTGGGCTCTTCTGATGCCATAGCTGTGGTTAGGTTTAGGGTTAGGGCTTGAATTGGGAAAGGTAACTGAATTAGGGAGGAAATGGATCTGTGTGAAGGACGTTAGCACTGGGAATTACAATTTTGGTGTGAGAGAAGACGAAGGAATTTTCATGGTTTAAATAGTCAATTGTGTATCAGACGATATCCAATTGCTTAATTCTCATTGGTCCACCAGACCCTCACACGGATTCATGCGTTGTTCTAGTTTAAATGTGAGCCCTTAGATGGAGACTTTATTAACGGTTGGTGATGCTTGATAGGGGAGGCTGTGATGGAATGTTATGCCAAGATTTGGGGTTGCTATAGGTTGGTTTGGGTGTGCTTTTGAGCTCAATTCCTTTGTTCATAACTCGAGCTGTGATTGATAAAAGTGAGTGGGATTTTTACAATCTTGTAGATTATTTTGTGAGGTTTCTGATGAGTATTTCAGCGTGTTGAATGGATGGGTGATTTGGGAGAAATTTGGTTTTGAAGGCACAATGGTCATGACTAGGGTTTATTCTGATGTGGTCAAAGTTTTTCCCAAATTATGGGGAATGCTTTGATTGAGGTTAAGATAAATCCACCCCTTGTGGTAATAGGTTAACACAGGATTCTATTGCATCAAGAATCATGAAAATCAGATTAGATTTGAATATGGAACAATTGCTTAGAAAGTCACTAAGGTTGAACAAGTCTTACCAAAGAACATGTATTCCCCAAGCATTGTGTGTAGAACAAATCTGTTTCTCATGTATTATGTTGAATTGTCACTCATTTGAACAAATGCAATATTGTAACGAACCATTGATGTTTGATTTCAGCGCATGCTTAGTCCTAAAATTTTGTAATCACAATAAGGTTTCCTTCTTCTTGGTGCTAGTGCTTTAAAATGCAAGTAACAGTTTTGTTGTGCAGAACTATGTAGATTGGATGCTAAGCCACATTGTTCCCTATCATCTTTCCATTCATTTGATTGAAATTGTCCTTGAATCATACAAAATTACAAATATGCTGCACGTTTAGTGCTGGTGTTTTTTATCTGCACGGGAGGGGTATTGCTATGCTCAATTAAGTTTATGTTGGCAACATGATATATCTATAAATTGGTGACATAGACTGTTTGAATTTGAATTTATAACATGCTTTTATTGTTTATAAATCTCTTTTGCAAAGACAAAATAACAAAATACAAATTATACTATCTTATACAGGAAAGAAAGGTCATGTGTGATATACACAATAGTATAAACAAATTCACTAATACAAGCACATACATCATTAGTACTATCCAAGTCTTTCTCGCAAGATATATACTTCTTGTGTATATTTTTGTTGTCCTTGCCACGCAACATGACTGAATATGAGTACTCAAAATTCTAAATTCGTTACCCCAAATTTTCTCTGAGATATAAGATCTTGATCTTCTACCATATATGTTATATTCAGCTTATAATTTCTGTGAAAATATGTGCTAATAGTGACACATACTTCCAAAAGCAACTCAGAGCCCATTTCATGGGATTTAAGATTGTTTTCATAACACCCTGTCCTTAATAAATCGCTTTTAAAAACTTTAGTTATAAAAAGGGATTAGTGGATTAAAAGAGAGGGTTAATTTTTACATGTTATAGAATTCAAGTGGTGCTTAATTAAATAAAGTCTAACGGCTGAAACTCACCATATAATATCTACTTTTACCAATTCCTAATTAACGACCACCACCGTACATACAAAAATAATAAAACAAAACAGTCCATAATTCAAGAATACAAGAAATCATAAAGCAAAAGAATCCGAGTAGACACAAGGTGTTACACTTTAGGATTGACCATTTATAAAGACTCACCCTTTATTTGGACTACTTGTTAGCTTTAGTTGAAAATTGAATCATCTATACCTGAGCCATCTTATGGCTTATATAGACACACACCAAGGACAAATGGAGTCAAGTTCATCACAGATTAAACATCCAAATGTTATTCAGATATGAATTCTATGAAATTGAAATGCAACTTCAGGTCGATATTTTTGAATCTTAATTAGCTGCCACAATAAGTTTGTAGTTCAAGTTTTAACTCATATTCTAATATAGTAGTAATACTTAAATTCCAACACAAAATTGGTGATTAACCCATTCTTCATATATGTTCCTGACAATCAAAATAGAGTTTTAAACAAAGGTTCAACAAAAGATGCAGAAGAATTCACGTAATCTTACAATACTCTAAGCTCTCACAACCCAGAAAGTTGTTGGCTTGTGTTCTATTCAATAAGAAAGTTATGTTCAATTAACATGTCTCTTTTATTTGAATAGTCATCTACTATGATGTCAATTAGGAATATTCTAAGCTTGGAGTAAGTTCTAGAGAATTTACTGATAAATGTTATAAGTGATGGCGAATGAACTTAGGAGCGGAGAATATATATATATTGGCATGATATATGCAGTAGTCCGAACTAATACCAAAGATTGGTCACGGACTTACTTGTATTAAAGTTTTGATACTTCTTGCACATCATAGGAATGTAAATCTTCTGCTATGTAAGCTGGAAAAAATTGGCTAAGTGCATGTTTGCATTGATTTCCCATCTCTCTCCATTATAGTGATAAGATGAACCGTGTAAAATGTAGTTAAGAATGTCATGTTGTCATCATCCCTTGTAGGGAAGCTTGTCTCTTTTGCTATTAAGAAACTTACAATAGTGGAGTTCTCGGACTAGCGATTCTCACTCTTGGAGAATAAAAATTTAATTGTTTCAACCGAAGTTTGTTAGCAAGGATTGGTTGCAAATTGCAATTGCCATCTTGTACTTGATAATTATTTTCCTTGGCAAGCATTGGAGAAAGGCAGATTTTGAATCATGCCTTGGTATTTCTCTTGTTCTTTTTTTACCAACATATAGTCCATAGTCTGAGCTATAAAATTATTATAACTAAAAAGGGGAAAAACAAATTATGAGAGGGTGGGGGAGGTTTTTTATCATATTCAAATTCGAATTCGTGAGCGGGCTTCCCCTCCTAATTAACTTGTAACCACTAAATTACAACGATTGATATCAATTAAGATTGCTTTTAATACTAGAATCTCATTGCAGTACAAGTCATCCTAAGATGCATATTTGAATTAGACTGGTTTCTTCAAAGACGGAGAACGAACACTAATCAAAATAATTAGTTATTGAATGAAATAATTTACTTAATCTAATGACAATGTAGTATTGCAGTCACAATAACTATAAATGGTACGTTAATTTCGATGCATTGTGCTGTCAAGTAACTAATAAAAAGGTTTTCATCAACATGCAAAGTCACCCTTTTTTTTATATACATCAACTGCTTCATCGATTACCCGATTATAATGGTTTGAATACTGTCAGATTTGTTACAGGGGGCAACTCTCCCAAAATTATTTTTTACATTTACAAGGCTCAAACTTGAGACCTCTGACTAAATAAAACAAACTCTTTACCACCATAACGAAAATCATTTTAAGAACACCTATTTAAGTATCTATAATATCTTAATTCTTTGGCAAGTTTGTTGTGTGTCGCTTTCTCTTTTAATATCCACTTTGTGTTCACACTTAAACTACTTTGAAATGTTTTCTCTTTTAGTAAATTTTCAAATTCGAATTTTAAAATTGATAGGTGAAAAAAGATCTTGAGTTTTACTCTTTCACTAAAGCCCAATAAGACTTAGTGTGTAAGAAGAGGCCAAGAAATCTAGAGTCCATTCAGCTTAGGGCTAGGGTTTCTTAGAACTCATATATATTCTCCACTTGTAGTCATTAGCCTCTCAGAGATATTCACTTGGTGGTTGTAGAGGCTGAGATAAGGTCATCTCCATGATAGTGAGAGTGCCCCACACACTAGTCATATCCCCCTTGAGAGATAGTGTAAGAACTCGCACCGTTAATTAAGGAAGTTAATTAATTAATTATGTGAAATTAGGAAATAATTCCATAATTGACCCTAATAATTATTATGAGGCTTAAATAAATATAGAAAATGGTTAATAATGTTGAAAGTCTCTTTTCGGACGGAAAGTGCAGATACCGGTTCTGCTACTCGGTATAAATGCGTACCGATGAAGTATCCCGGAAAATTATAATAAGTGCATGAATATTCCTAGAATAATATATAGGACTTGTAAAACAAGTTTCAAGTTAAAATAATGAAAACTGATGCCAGAACTGATACTGGCTATGGAAAAGCGCGCACCGGTAAGGTGTTGTGAAAAATATAATAAAAATATGATAAATCTTGTAAAATGGAGTAGGTTCAGAATCCTGAGTTTGGGATTAAAATTCTAAGCATAGCAATTAACGTTAATACTGTGTATTTAATTCTTAAGTGGCTATAAATAGCCTTGGCACATGATCCTAGGTCTATTTTAGAGCTTCTATCGTATGAAATTCTGGTGCTTGTGAGTCATCCACCCTTTTCCACCTTCTTCTCCATTTTTGTGAGCCAAGGAGCTTCCTTTCTTCTTGGTTTCTTCACCAAATTACTTTGGGCTTGTGAGAGCTTGCATGGTGAGGGAGTGTGAGGGTACATTCTGAGTTTCCAGCCACTGTGAGTGGGTGTGGGTGCTGACTTTGTGTGGTTTGGGTTGTGGAAACCTTGAAGTTGGCTTTTGAGCTTCAAGGTGTGAACTTTGTGGAGAAAGAACCAACCTTGGTGTGCCATTTTCGTGTTTGAACCAAGTCAGAACTGGAAGAGTTGTTTGGTGAGCTCCTTGAGCATTTCTTGCTGAGTTTCAAGCTTTGGTAAGTGTCACCAACCTTAATCATGAGTTTTAAAGGGTAAAAGTGGAGTCTTGCCATGTTTAATGAGTTAAACAAGTAACCAACTAGTATATGGACCTAAAACGGAATAAAAATGCATGCTTAGACGTTTAGGAGTGTTAAAAATGGAACCTTGGAAGTGGTATTTCGCGAAATGGAGAATCTGAGTTTCTGTCGCGAAATATCCGGATATTTGGTTGAAAATATCTGGATATTGATATCCGAATATGGATATCAGGATATGAATATCCGGATATGGGGTTCTGAATATCTGGATATTGATATCCGGATATTGCCAGTGAGAT